GCAGTCCTGGAACAGGAGCAGAGGCAGGAGCCAGTCCCACCAATGTGGAGAGTACCTGATCCAGAGAAATACTCAGATCCTCTCCCCCCACTCCCCCCTGATCTTCAAAGTCCAAACTGGAGTCGACTTTGGCTTCTGTGGTTCCAACCCTTAAACCTATGTCAGACTTGGACTGCTCCAGTAGGTGTGATGCATGGGATCTGGCACCACTAAGAATGGCTGTCTTCTCCCTTGTCTTCCTTTTTGGAACTAATATAGCCGTAGCTGCTGATGTGGCTCTAGGTTCCTTGGAAGGCAGCTGACCTCTTCCCACCAAGAGTGCCTTCAAAGTCTTGATGGCTTTAATAAATCGGGAGCTGATCCCAACCTCCTGGAACCTGTACACAGTTTAGGGTTGCTGGAGGAGCTGAACCTGGTTTGTTAGATTTCTGATCTGGAACCAGAAAGTTTACCAGCAAAAGCTGTAGTCTATTCTGCCTCATTTTATGCACTCTGGGCATGAAAGCCTGGCAAATAGAATATCCAGGAGGAGAGCAGCCTTCCCCCCCACAGACCCTTCAGATACCTAATATGGTCATCCACCTGTGACCAAGAACATCTTCGTGTCAGCTAAAAGAGGGATGCACAGGGGTTACAGGAGTCTCCGAATTCTGGTATGTAGATTCTAGTTCACCAAAGTGCCTTGTGTGAGGTTTCAAATGAAAGCCAATGTCACTGGTCATCAGTGTCACTGAAATGTATGTGCATGTACTGTGCAAGGAGTTATGTATCTGTTCCAGAAAGTTATGTTCTTAAGCATGTAAGGTAAAAGCAGGTCACCAAAAGGTGACCTGCCTTAGACTGGTTTCTCCCAGATGGGAGGCAAGATACGTGTATGTCTTTCAGGATGTAAATTAAGCTTTGTGAACTAATACAAAGGATGACCATTTACATCGGAAGTCAGATCTTAACAAAGAGATGTGAAGTAAACAGGAAAGGACTGCACAGACATAAACAAGCTACAGGGAATTATCCTGTCTGTGGGGAAAGATAACGAACTTTGGATATAGTTCTAGAAGGCAAAGAAAACTCTTGGATATCCTGCACCTAGGACTAAGTAAATGGATGACTTGTCTGCATTCGTGAAAGTGGGGTCTCGGCCAGCCTTGGTTGAAAATACCGTAGAGGATTTTGGTTGAAATAAACTTCTTTATACAGGAGGTTAACCTGTTAGTTAAGTTTAGTCTCTAGAAAGCATGTTATGATTGTGTTTTGTATGTAAACATTTGTTTCCAATATTCTTTCTTACTATTACTTGAATCTTTGATAACATCACAGCACTTAGGTATATTTAATTAAAACAAGAATAAGGTTGTTAAGTGAGGTGCTTGTCCTGGGTTGAAACTTACAAGCTGATGTGTACTGTTAGGTAACAGAACCTGGTAACTGAGTGTGCAGTGCGGAAGGGGCAGGGAGTGCTCTAAGAACTTGTGGGAGTTGGGGTGGGTTGGTATATACCCATTACTACCTACAGAGAGAGAGAGCAAAGACTGTGGAGACCTGGAAGGTAGTGCTTGTACTGCCAGAGCTCTTGATTTCAGGGAGCTGATCCATGGCAAACACAGACAAGACTGCTTTGCTCTAAGGCAGTGTTTCTCAAATGTGGCCATGTGTTCACATGCTGCCACCAGGGGTTTTTCCTGCGGTCATGACTGCCTCCTGGGCAGAGATAGGGGAGGGGACAAAGCAATGGGGCTAAATGGGTGGGCTTAACCCCCCCCTTCAGCCTTGGGGCTCTAGCAACAGGCTTGGTACTTCAGTCCCTTGCCCCCAGCTTCAGCTGTGGGGCCACAGGCTCTTGGCTCCTGCCCCCTGGGGTGGCGGGGCTCCAGTCTTCAGCCCCTCTCCCGCCCGCTCCAGGTCTGGGCTTCAGCTGGACCGGTCTGACTGGACACCATGGTCGAGGCGAGGAGCAGGGTGAGCCTGGGTGCGATACTGCTGAAGGGATCTTGGGCAATGGGGGGAGGGAGGCAGAAGCAGTGGGTCCCAGAGGGGGTGATGGGGAGCCAGGGGTTAGGTGGGGGCTGGGGAAGGTGACAGGGGCTAGAGGCGATGGGGGAGGCAACAGGGGTCAGGCGCACCAAAATACAACTGTACATTTTTATTATTGAGTCTACAAAAAAAAAAAAAAAAAAAACCAAAAAACACAAATGACAATGATTCGGAAATGTGCATGTGTGCATATTTATTTGTTTTTCCTAAAATTAAGTATTTTAGGAAAATTTGTCAGAATGGCCCCAAGCAAGAGTTGGTGGCCTCAGATTGCGGTCACCAAAAGTTTTGTTGTGAAAACCCCAGCTCTAAGGGGAGGTAGTGGTGAGGTGCCTTACAAGCCTGGGTACTCCAGGGAGTATCACACCATCTCCAGGAAGACAGCTGGGCACAAAGCACACCTCTTAAACCTTGGCTTTTTCTTTTTCTTTGGTTCAGCTATTACAGGGAACTGAATCTCACCAACTATACTAAACTATCAACATTTATTACTATACTAAAAACTACACTTAATTCTTGATGTAGTTATCTGGCCGTGGATCCAAGATGGATTGGAGTGGTTCACTTTTGTCTGGCACAATAGTTGGAAGGAACTGAAGTTGTAGAGGGTGCTGTGCCCCTTATATAGCCTCGCCCTCAGAACATTTGGCTATGCTCGGGGAGGGGTAGAAGAGGGTGCATGTGCGCTCTAATGGGTACTGCTTGGAGGAGCTTCTATCATTAGGTAGCACCAGGTGGCGCAATACCCGTAAGTGTGAATATGAGAACCCTGCAAAGAAGAACATTGCGATGCAGGATTATTGGGGCAACAGAAGATGTAAAGCAACACAAAAATGTCCCTTTTTTTTTTTTTAAAGCTGTAACACTAAAGGCTTAAAATTTCTGCTGCTCCATAATTATGTAATGGTTACCTTTTAAAAACTTTATTTCTTTGAGAATTCATGTATGTCCCAGAACTCTTCCGTGGTTCTTCTCATGGAAACACATACATGTTTTAAACTCCACTTACTGCACCATCTAGTTTTGCTGACATGGTGGTCAATTACACAGGTACAATAGCTTGCTGTACTAGATATATGGATTGCGTATTTCATTTACATTAGCTTTAATGTCCATTGTCCATCACAGGACAATCCAGATGTTTTTTTGACCCTGTAAATTTTGTGGTGATGTATCATTTGGGCTTTTGTAGTTTTTAAGAATCATGTTTGTTGAATCTCTGAAACATGACATAGTAGATTTGAAAATCAAGCTACTAGAGTAAGTGGTGGCTTTGTCATCTCTTGATATCTTCATATCAAGACTGGAGGATTTTCTGGACAATATGCTTTAGCCAGTGTAAGGGACTGCGGAAGACTTTTATGGCCTAGCTAGGGAACTTCCGCTTTCTCGAGGCCACCCGGTCACTTAGGACATGGGGAACCAACTTCAACCGGTTTTAGGCCGGTTTTGTCTGCCTTGAATGGCCTGTTGCCAGGTAGCAGAAAGCCCCTTTAGGGAAGTACCTAATTATATATTCATGAGCTGTTTCTGTGTACTGCTTATTATGGCTCGCTGGTTGCCCCTTCGTCGGATTCCGTCCCAGGCAAAGCTCCAGTGTGCTGGGTTCTCCGCCTCCGTGACAGCAAAGCTTGGAGTCCCCTTTGCGGGTGTGTCACTAACCTTCAATAAAGCCAATAACTCGCTGCTTAGCTGCGTGTGGGTCTCATTTTCTCAGGGTACCTCTGTCGGCCTGCAGTGCTTCGAACACCTTGGCCCAGAACAGCCAGACACAAGTTATTGGGCTCAATATGGGGTAACTGGGTGAAATGGCATGCAATAGACATGAGGTCAGACGAGATGATCTAATGGTCCTTTCTGGCCTTAAACTATGAATCTGTAGTAATTGCCATTCTTTCCTGATCCATCAAAGGATTATTGGTGTAGAGATCCATACATCTGCATGCTCCCACTTCTCTTAAAATAGAGCTGGACTTTTTTTTAATGAAGCATTTCATTTGACCGGAAATGAAATTTTTGTTGACTTTTTTTGATTTGACCAACATTCCTGAATTTCTGGTTGAACCCTCCATGTGGGGCGCCCCCCCCCTTTTTTTAAATTTTTCGGAACTGCCTGCAAACTGAAAAATCAGTTATTCACCCAGCTTTAGTCACATGTCCTATTTAGAGATGTACTGAACTGCTCGGTGTTCAGATCTGGAAGTTTGGTTGATGGCCTGTCCACTTGTGTAGATGTGATTTGGAAAGTTGACACCAACCTAAAACTGTTTAAAGAATGTGAAAAAGGACAAAGTACAACTATCAAAATGTTATATAGAAAATCAATTTTATAATTTTGGCTTTAGTCTCTTTCACTGAAGCATTCCCCAATCCATGTCTTGTACCAGAGTCCACATGTATACCAGTGTCTTAGTATTCTCTTGTTCTTATTGGGATGGTGAGTAACAATACAAATCATATTATGGAAGGTACTGATGACATGATACTGACAAGTATGACTTGTTCAATATTTTCACTTCAAGAAATGAAATCGTAAACTTGAAATCTTAATTCAGAGAACGCTCTCTACGATACTGTTGGGACTTATCTTGTTAACTTTTGGACTCTTTTTTGAGGGAAGACTGTTTAACACAGTATGAACCCTGTGCTGTGGATTGGACAAAATGAAGCCTGTGGAATTATGTAATCTTGTTGTCCCATACGTTTATGTGAAGGTGTGACTTGTGGAGACTTCTGGCCTGGTATGCAGTACTTCATCTTGAGCCAAGCAGCTGCTGGGACCTGTAGACCTGTGCTATGCCTCTGTAATAGATGAGGGCAGCTACAATGTCCTCCCTCACAAAATAGGGTCATTCCTTTGACTCGTGTCAAGTTGAGAGTACATCTTTGGGTTGGGCATAGTTTGAATACCCCCTCTATATTAGTAGAATGAATGTGGTACTTTTTATAACTACTTTTTCTCTTCAAAGCTGCGGGAGATGGAAGAAGAACTGAAATATGCCCCAGTGTCCTTCCGCAACCAAATGATGAACAGAATCCGGACCTACAAGAGAGACCTTGCCATGTTCCAGAGAGAGATTAAAAGCACAGATTTGGGGTTGGGTCTTGGAAGTCGGGGGGACACAAAATACGGAATCTATTCCATGGAAAATGAGCAGAGTGTGAGTGTCAAATAGATATTAACTATATTTTAAAACTCTTGATTGTGATACAAAGTGAATTCAGCTGTAGCTAGCTCTGCTAGTTAATGTTTCTGTCTTGCCCTCCTTAGTTTCTGAGCTCATGTAACTTGGCTGTAAACCTACTCTGCATAATAGGGAGTATTTCTCATGAGAGGAAAATTGTACCTGGAGCTCTTTTAAAAAAACATGTGTCAACTTGGTAAGAATGAAAGAATAAACTCAAAATAACAAACTTGCTTTTTAAGAGATGCTCAAATAGCATTTGGCTCAATCTATTTTTAAAAACCTAAAAATAGATTTTCATTAAACCTACTTAAATAATTTATTTAAACATTCCTTACAGCACAGAAAACACAACTGTAGTAGTGCAGGAAAAAAATTAAACGGCCAATTTCATTTCACTGTCAAAGGTGAGTGAAGTAGATATATTTAAATGCACCGTGTAGCATCAATGGTAAAGCTATCTTTAAAATTCAGTTAAATAATCCAGGTACATGTAAGAAGCCATCTATTTAAGTAGCATATTGATCTGGCCACTCAAAACTTTTAAGTACCAGATTTTAGTTTTGTTTTATTGTACTGTAGACAGTTAACTCAAAATATGAGTGAACTGTAGAGACTGAAATCACCTCCAGTCTTAAAGCTCTGAGGCACATTGATCTGTGTGGGAAGTTTGTGGTGCTGTCCATCCTGCATCTGTCCTGTGGCTGGATTATTTTAGTCTTGGGTATACCTTTCACCAGATCTAAAACTACAGAAGCCAGAAAACTTTGAAGACTGAGGTGCTATCCTTGATTTGTCTGGATATTGCAGCATGAGGCATTTATTGCCTCCCTTACAAATAGCTTAGTACAGGATGGTAGATTAAAGACTTTTTCAAAATTTAGGAAAATGTTCTATTCTGAGGGCCAGTTCTGATCCAAGGTCAGTGAGCCTCTCTCATCCTGACAGGTTTCAGAGTGGCAGCCGTGTTAGTCTGTGTCCGCAAAAAGAAAAGGAGTACTTGTGGTACCTTAGAGACTAACCAATTTATTTGAGCATAAGCTTTCATGAGCTACAGCTCACTTCATTGGATGCATTCAGTGGAAAATACAGTGGGGAGATTTATATACACAGAGAACATGAAACAATGGATGTTTCCATACACACTGTAAGGAGAGTGATCACTTAAGGTGAGCTATTACCAGCAGGAGAGCGGGGCGCGGGGCGAACCTTTTGTAGTGATGATCAAGGTGGGCCATTTCCAGCAGTTGACAAGAACCTCTGAGGAACAGTGGGGGTGGGGAAATAAACACGGGGAAGTAGTTTTACTTTGTGTAATGACACATCCACTCCCAGTCTTTATTCAAGCCTAAGTTAATTGTATCCAGTTTGCAAATTAATTCCAATTCAGCAGTCTCTCATTGGAGTCTGTATTTGAAGTTTTTTTGTTGAATTGCAACTTTTAGGTCTGTAATCGAGTGACCAAAGAGATTGAAGTGTTCTCTGACTGGTTTTTGAATGTTATAATTCTTGACGTCTGCTTGTGTCCATTTATTCTTTTACGTAGAGACTGTCCGGTTTGGCCAATGTACATGGTAGGGGGCATTGCTGGCACATGATGGCATATATCAATTGGTAGATGTACAGGTGAACGAGCCTCTGATAGTGTGGCTGATGTGATTAGGCCCTGTGATGGTGTCCCCTGAATACATATGTGGACAGAGTTGGCAATAGGCTTTGTTGCAAGGATAGGTTCCTGGGTTAGTGGTTCTGTTGTGTGGTGTGTGGTTGCTGGTGAGTATTTGCTTCAGGTTGAGGGGCTGTCTGTAACCAGGACTGGCCTGTCTCCCAAGATCTGTGAGAGTGATGGGTCATCCTTCAGGATAGGTTGTAGATCCTTGATGATGTGCTGGAGAGGTTTTAGTTGGGGGCTGAAGGTGATGGCTAGTGGCGTTCTGTTATTTTCTTTGTAGGGCCTGTCCTGTAGTAGGTGACTTCTGGGTACTCTTCTGGCTCTATCATGCTGTTTCTTCACTTCAGCAGGTGGATATTGTAGTTCTTGTAGGTGTTTGTCTCTGTCTGAGGGGTTGGAGTAAATGCGGTTGTATCGTCTAAGCCAAGTTCTACAATGGATCGTGTGGTGTGCTCTGGATGAAAGCTGGAGGCATGTAGGTAGGCATAGTGGTCAGTAGGTTTCCGGTATAGGGGGGTGGTTATGTGACCATCGCTTATTAGCACTGTAGTGTCCAGGAAGTGGATCTCTTTTGTGGACTGGTCCAGGCTGAGGTTGATGGTGAGATGGAAATTGTTGAAATCCTGGTGGAATTCCTCAAGGGCTTCTTTTCCATGGGTCCAGATGATGAAGATGTCATCAATATAGCACAAGTAGAGTAGGGGCATTATGGGACGAGAGCTGAGGAAGCGTTTTTCTAAGTCAGCCATAAAAATGTTGGCATACTGTGGGGCCATGCGGGTACCCATAGCAGTGCTGCTGATTTGAAGGTATACATCTCATCCTGTGACTTGGGCTACTTATTTGCATGAAAAGAGGATCTTGATGGCCTAGGCATTCCATCTGCTGCTGCTGCTTCTCATATAATCCTCTGATTGTGTGACCTCATAAAAAATCTCCACAGCAACCAATTGTGAATGCTGTAGATAAAGGAATGACTTAAGGTAGGGATAAAAGGAGCAGATAAAAACAAAGATCCTATTTTTAAGTAAGTATCCCCTAACTGGTAGAGGGAAGTGAGATTAAAGGAAGGAAAATGTGACACATTTATTTCTAACCAGAATGTTTTAAAACCTTTCCCATGTAGCATCTGTAGCCCTAAGACTAACCTTTCAGTTGACTCCTTTTTCATGTCTTTGCTAGGTTTAAGATGAACCTTTTAACACTATTTTGAATGTAGTTTTGGGATGTGTGTGTGAGAACTACGCCAGGCTTCTTTCTATTTAACTACAGCTTGTTTTTTCTTGGCTTCCTAGAGTAGATATTTGTCCCTAAAATCATGCAAATGATAAGGCACAGGAAATCCTAGGTTATTTCTTGTTTCCAAAAGAGGTTTTCTAAAGAGAATACGTTTGCTATCCTGGACTAAATCTCTGCTGGGATACTGTTAGTCCCAGTTTTTGCATTTACTGGAGATAGATTTCTTCATAACTTTCTAGTTTTGTGGTAATATGCAACAAGCCTATATTACAACAGATACAGAAGAAGAGTCCTGAATTCTCTGCTCCAGTCCCAGTCTACTGATTTTTGAGGCCATCCTGTGCTGTGGATTTTGAGGGAGTGGGGCACAATTGAGTTTAAGGTGGGAAAATCAAATGAACCTAAATATGGAACAGCATCTCTTGCTCCATATTTCAGCCTCTAGCAGTGACTGACTTGCATTTTATGGTTGTGGCTCTTAAGGATGTAAACAAGGAAATCTGTCTTTAATCTTTTTTTGGCTCTTATAACTTTGTAGTGAGAGTGAGTGTCCTCTTTCTTCCTCCTCTTACAGTAGTTTGTTTAACTCTGGCTTCCTCCCTATTCTCTAGAAATGTTGCAGATAAATCTCTCATCCATAGTAAGGGCTAATACTATGTAATACAGAGTTAACGTACTATATACTTCCAAACTTGATTTGTCTGCTTCTGTTAACCTAAAAGGACCTTGTCGCTGTTTATAGGCACATGGTCTATATAAAGCAATGCATCTCAATTCTAGAGTGCATCAGCAGCCAGTATGGTTTTGCTCCCATGTTTAACAGCTAAACAGTACAACCTATTTTTTAGACTCATCTGCAGTTGCAGAGGGGGTTGCTTCTCCAGGGGACAGACAGCCTGAACCGAGCCACTCAGAGCATTGACCGTTCACATCGGATTGCTGCAGAGACGGATCAGATAGGTACCGAGATAATCGAGGAACTTGGGGACCAGCGAGAGCAATTGGAACGCACCAAAAGCAGAGTGAGTGTAAAAGCTGTGGGCACTGTAACATAGCCTGGCATTAGCCTATTGGGAACGGTAGCCTCTATGGAGATCTGGGTGCTTCCATCAGATGTTTACTTCCTGGGGTATGAAAGCTGCGATATGGACATCTGGAAAGAAGGAGCAGTTAGAGTGGAGGACTGTAGATTGGTGACAAATAAAAAATTGCCTCCATTTGTTCAGCCTAGCAGTCCATAAAGAGCACTTTGCCCCCAGGAATACACTGTGAAGTGGAATTTCAGTTCATTTCCGTTTGGCTTTGAGTCCTATGCTAGTGCCTGGATCCTGTTTAAACTTTAGTCATTTTATCACCCTGACAGTGTGAAGTAAATGGAAGAGGCTAAATCAGTTTTTAACCTGAGTTTATATGTGGATGAAATGGGCTAGATTACCCAATAGGTCTCTTCCAGCTCCCTGGGGCTAAGGCAGGAACTAGCCCAACAACTAATAATGTAAACTATTAATAGTGGTTTTAAACTATGTAAACTTGACCTAAAAGTTAGGCTGTAACCACTGAAGCCTTTCTTTTTTGAGTGAAGCATTGTCAAAGTGCAGTTTCACTCTGATCCAGTTATTGTGTCCTGGATCTCTGTATCAAATTTGCTCACTTAACAAGTGAAGATGTGTTCTTACCTCTAGTTCTGCAAACTAAGCCTGTGCACAGTTGAGCTTTGGTTATTTCCGAGTAGTATCACCAGTAATGAAGATTCATTAGACCTTTGGCTGCATTTCTACAATCCTGTTGCCCTCAGTAGATTTGCACATGAGTAACGGAAACTTGGTAAACTAATATATTGATGTACAAGAAAGAATAGAATCCAGCATTGCAGCACCTACACTTCTATTTTTAGCATGATAGCTTAATCAAAGGTCTTCAACCTGGGAATCACACCTTTAGCTCAAAGTGTACATTTACCCATCATCCCAGTTTCATATCCGATCTTGGATTTAATGTGAGTGACTCCCTCTCCCAGAGTAGGGCTGTCTGTATAGTTCTGTCAGCAGGCCTCTTGAATCAGGTCAAACCAGCATAGGCTATTTCCCTGGGAGGCAAAACTTCAAAAGTCTTGTTACCTGTATTGCTTCAGCATTGGGAATTTACAGTCATCACTCCCCTCTAACTATTGTTCCTGCAGGAACCATCCGTTCATCCAGGAATACAATCACTAGCCAGCCCATAAAGATGTACAGTATTTTATAAAGCTGATCCAATAACCCGAATATTCTGTTTCCGAAACATTGCATCTGTCAAAGCTACTTTCTTCTGAAGCTAAGAGTTAATGCAGTCCTTTGGATATACCATCCTGTTAAACTTGTTCAAGGAGTTATGCATTTATAGTGTGCTTTCTGTATGCTGTTCCCTCTACTGAAATAGTAATAAATACAAGCTCACCTTCTTTTTGCATATGCTCCCTTAACAAAGAGATGAAGTCTAGAACTGTTTTTTAAATGGATTTGTGGACTCTCCCGGAGCTGTGAGCAGGAGATACTTGCAGCTGTATAAAAAAGGTGCCAAAAGTGGTGACTCTTGGCAGGCAGAATGGTACAGATCTGCCATCACAAATCCCTTTTCACATAGGATCTAACAGGAGTCATAGTGTTGTGTTTATGTGAAATGAGTGAATTCCACTCATGCAAAAACATACTAGTGTTGGCATCAGGCTGGAACCAGCTTATTGTTTGCTTTATGATCTGCACCATCTGATTTCTGTGAAAGCACTTGCTGCAATGAGTGTGGGTTTGAAAGCCTGGGCATAAACAGATCCATTTACCAAGGGTGCTTGTGAATGTAAATGGAGGGCAAGTGGCATGCACTTCTAAAGGTGCTCTGAGGCTATGTCTACCTCATGGACCTTCTAGCAGCTGGTGGAAGAGAGCTTGCCTGCAGGCATAATTAAACCACCTCCAATGAGCAGCAGGAGATGCTCTCCTGCCAACATAGTGCTGTCCACACTGGCACTTTTGTCTGTGAACCTTATGTCAGTCAGGGGTGTGTGGGTTTTTTTTCCTTTCACCACACCCCTGACAGACAGGTGTTAGTGTAAACAACCCCTGGTTTGACTCACTCAATAAGGACAACTGGCCTAATTTCCCTCACAACCCATCTCCTTGAACTTCTGGAGCAGGGCTGACCAAATTTTATATTGAAAGCTGCAGTGACCACATGTTCTGAGTCTCAGGTTTGCACCTGAGTTGTTTATAATGTGACAGTGGTGAGGCCTCATCTGGAGTACTGTGTCCAGTTTTGGGCCCCACACTTCAAGAAGGATGTGGATAAATTGGAGAGAGTCCAGTGAAGGGCAACAAAAATGATTAGGGGTCTGGAACACATGAGTTATGAGGAGAGGCTGAGGGAGCTGGGATTGTTTAGCCTGCAGAAGAGAAGAATGAGGGGGGATTTGATAGCTGCTTTCAACTACCTGAAAGGGGGTTCCAAAGAGGATGGCTCTAGACTGTTCTCAATGGTAGCAGATGACAGAACGAGGAGTAATGGTCTCAAGCTGCAGTGGGGGAGATTTAGATTGGATATTAGGAAAAACTTTTTCACTAAGAGGGTGGTGAAACACTGGAATGCATTACCTAGGGAGGTGGTAGAATCTCCTTCCTTAAAGGTTTTTAAGGTCAGGCTTGACAAAGCCCTGGCTGGGATGATTTAACTGGGAATTGGTCCTGCTTCGAGCAGGGGGTTGGACTAGATGACCTTCTGGGGTCCCTTCCAACCCTTATATTCTATGATTCTATGACAGCTTTTAAAATGCATAACCCTAATTTGTTTTGCTTGTTTCTTACTAGGGTCCTTCTTGAACCCAGATCTTTTGTTTGCTTAATTCATTGTGCCCTCAACTAACTGCTGGCACACTGTGGGTCAGAGTACAAGGTTTGGCTCTGTGCCTTTTATTTCCCTTCAGAATAAGTGAAATCTAATGTGTTTTTCTTTGTAGTTAGTGAACACAAGCGAAAACTTAAGCAAAACCCGTAAGATCCTGCGTTCCATGTCAAAAAGGTGAGTTGTGTGACGAATTTACTTACCTTTTAAAACTTTAAAGCAATGCTAGCCTCCAATAATGACCAATCCCAGACAATTATGCCTTTCTTCTAAATCTCAAAATAAGATACAACCAGAAAACTATTTACTGTGCAGGAATTGCCTCACCCAGTACCCAAATGCTGCTGCCACCTCTAACAGTGCAGCAGTTCTACAGCACACAGCAAAGGAAATTTAAAATACCAGAACAGCTGGGGGCTTTTAGGTAAACAGAGTAACTGAAATTTGCCCAAATAAATGGGCTACAGTCTCTTTTTAATATTCCTCAGTGAGCAGGTATTGAGAGACAAGGTGGGCAAGGTAATATCTTTCATTAGACCAACTTCTGCACCATAAAGAGCTCTTTCAGGTCTGGGAAAGGTATTCAGTCACAGCTAAATGCAGTGGAAATTAAGGTGCCTTAATTTCACTACCTGTTTTTCTTTCCTTTGGAATAGTTTAGACTAGAGTTCAAGTGGCACTCTAGTCATTGTATAGACTAACTGTAGTCTTCCGTACCCTATTTCTATTAATCTCTTCTGGATTTCAACACCCTTTTCAAGGTAACAAGCTGATGACTGTATTCATGGGCAAGGTGTATTATGCATTTTATAGAATACTCCCTGTTCTATTCCTTGCTAACACAGTTTGCTTCTGCATAGTGACCAGCCTTTTTAAGCTATCAGTTGATACTCAAGATTCTTAATTCCTGGGTATCAATTCATAGTGTTACCTGGCACTTAAGGTTGTGGTTCCTCTTTTCTTAAATAATGCATCTTGTCTGTGCTGTTCATCTTCAGTTAGCACCAGTGTCCTGCTCTAGAGCAGGAGTCCTCTGTACACTCCATTAACCTTCTTGCATGTCGAAATTAGGAAACTAACTTACCAAAGCTTGTGGAGGTTCAAACAGTCTACTGATTTGTTTTTTTCTTTGTCCATGAGACAACTTCAGCCCAAAAAACCCAACTTTTTAACCTGCTACTGCATTACAGCTTGCTGCGAGTTCTTGATGACCTGCTTTAGTCATTTATGTAAACTGTATGTGGAATGATCTTTAGCGACCATAGTAACAAATGAACATTTTGGGGAATGCAGAGGTGGGAGAGTGTGCTGTAGTTCAAAAGGAATTATGTGGGGGAATTTTATGGCCTGTTATACAAGTCAGTAGTCCCCTCTAGAGGTCTTTTAAAGGCCAAACATCTTTAAAGACCATTTTGGCAGAGTACAATAGTATCCTCTGAAGAGCCAACCCATTTTACTAGAAAGTTAGAGACCCATACACTGAGTAGTGGTGGCTGATGCTCCTAAGAAATAACTGACTTAATGGGGTAGTCCTGTCCATCTTACAGTGTGGAAATAAAAAAAGTTGGAGAATGCAGCACCACTGCAAGTAGTGAAATGGAGAATGTAAAGAGAAGTCCCAGAGAACTGTTAGAAAGCTGTTTAGTGCAGGAATCACTGCTTTGTCCCTCCTTCCTAGTTTTGAGAACGTTGTGGAGAATTCTCCACAAAAGTACTAAGCTTAGTGATGAGATTTAAAGACAATCAACTTTTGGTAACTTTAGTTCTCAGCTGGAGTGTTTACATAAAGAATGTTTTTAAACCACACTGGAACATATACAGGAGGATATTCCTCAAGACCCAATAAAAGTCTTCACTTACCATGAGCAGCATGATCCTAAACTCCCTTTTTTCTTTCTAGAATTATGACTAACAAGTTGCTGCTGTCTGTCATCATCATCCTAGAACTAGCCATCCTAGGAGGTGTGGTCTACTACAAGTTCTTCCGCAAGAGCTGAACTTGCACAGCCCAGATTGGTGTTCCCCTTTGTGTCAAGGATTATGCATAGACATAGCTGAGAAACGAGATGGCAGTAGCTCCAGAAGAAGTGGATGAGAGGTCTACTCCATTTGAAAGTCCTGTGGTTGAGCTGCCAGGTTCTGGCAGCATTTTCAACTGAATTATGTACTGACTCTAGAAAGACATGCAGGTTATAAAAATGCAAAGACTGACTGAAGTAATGGTAATAGACAGTAATAAGGTAATTGTTTTATTACTTGTCTAAATTTATATACTTCTAAATGAATAAAACAGTAGTTATTGGTCAAATGGAAAAAACTAGTCTCTTTTTAAAACAAAGTAAAACACTTCAAGTGTTTGATAATCTATCCACTCAAGTGCCTCAGCAGAATGCCCAATGTGAAGCGTCTTCCATCATGTGGGGGTCCTAAATCCTCACTTGCTCTTCACTGTCTGATTCATCTGGTGAATTGGGGGTTGGGAGTTCATCAAAAACAGCATGTGCTCCTTCTCTGGTGTGCCCAAAGCATGTTGCTAGCACATCTACTGCAAGACTGGCTGTAGCATTCACTTCCTCTTGAGAGGCTCCAAGCAATGGGTTTACTTCAACCAGGTCCACAGCCGAAAGCAATCCTGAGAAGGCAAAAACACATTACCCCCGAGGCAGGAACATGCTGGACTTCTGTTCCTGCTATTTGATCGGTAGTTTCACACAGCTGCTGTGGCAGAGCCAACACTATACTTCTATTAGTCACTGAGTAGTTCAAGGCTCATATCCCCAACCTTGCATTTTAGAACACCCTGGGAAAAGGTAAGCCTATCCCCAAGTGCAATCCATGGAGGCTGCTTCTGGCTAGCAGATGCAAATAGTCAACCTGTCTGAAGAACAGAACTGGGAGGCCCCTAGGGCCTCACATGTTCCTGGAGGCAGTACTAGTCTACATTATGACCAGCAACTGTACCACCTCCACACCTTTCCCAAGCAGCAACTGACTATACAGCAGCAAAAAGTGAGATGACAGAGGTACTGCACCTATCTGGCTCAAGACTCAAGAAAGCAATGCCTTGCCTCTTTATGGCTGTAAGATCTTTTCGAATGTAATGGTGGAAGTTTAAAAATGAGGAAGATTTAGCCACTTCTGGAGGAAGAGAAGCTGAACATTGGCATTTCAGCTATGCTTCTGGAGTTTAACTATGAGAAGCTGGTTAAGTTCAAAGTAGCATTGGCATCCACTTAATATTGAACCTGTGGCTTAGGTTAAATGCCATGCCAGATCTGTCCAGCCCACAGTATCTGAGCACATCTCAATGTAGAGTTAAGACTGTCAACCAAGGAACAGTAACAATCCCTTGTGAGCAGAGGTCCTAAGAAACACACAAGCCATTTAACTATAAGTGCATTTTATATCTAAAGTGAGGTGTCCTAGCCCCATTCTGAAAAGCTTATGGTACCTTTAAAATTTGTTAAATGTGCATAGCCGAGTCTTGTATTAGCAAGACTTGTGTTCTGGGATAGAACAAGTAGTTCAGTCACTTTCATAGAAACAAGAGTGATCTGTGGACTGTCAGAGGCTGAAAACTCGAATGCTGTCTCCTTTAAGTTCTCTCCCCACAACTCCAGTGGAAGCTTGAACCTGGGGTTTTAGGATCACTTGCAAGATGAAAGCCAGATTTTTAAAACTGGGTATTTTTAATGTTACCACACTAATGCAAAAAAGGAATATTGATGTAAAACTGGTCATTCATGCATATGTAAAGTTCTGAAAGTCTGCCCCATCTATTCACTGCTATATAAAATAGGGACCTATACCATTCTGATCTACTGTACCATGCCCCTTCAAAATCATTGATCTAAAGTTTACTACTTAGCTCCTGTCAGTCTAGTTATAAAGAAGCAATTTGAAATGCAAAACAGGTCACCTTAAACCTGTCTCAAATAACTTCTTGTAAAGGTAGAATTAGCTCTTGGCTAAGAGGCTTGTGTGATAATTGGGTTTAATCAAACACTGCTGGTTGATTCTTACCTGTATTGTGTATTTCCTCTGTAATGTACATGCCTTCCCGATATGTTAATCCACCTAAAACAGGAGTCCCTGTTGCTGGAGCCAGCGAAGGATCAAAAGCATCAATGTCAAAGCTCAGGTGAATTGGTCTTTGCCTTCTGGAGAATAAAATAAAATAGGTGGCTTAATATTCTGTGATCGTATATGTGGTCAGGACCCCATCTACTTCACAGCACACTAGAATCAAGTTTAGGGCACCACTTATTTTCACTCTTTCCCATTGTTTAAGCCCCCCACAAACTATAGTTCAGAGGTGGGAAAACCAAAGGAAAAAAAATGAAGTGTTTCTTTATGCTGGACTGGCCACACCTGCCATGTTCAAAAAAAACATCCCAAAGCAGAGTTCCTCTTTCTCCCTGACCCTCGAAGCATGTGCCAGGAAAGGGGGAAGCTTGTCACTTCACCAGTACTTCATCTCTGTTCTACTGCTTAGCTCAGTTGCTGCCCCAGCACAGGTACCAGTTCCAGCTCTGGCACCTCAACCCAGCTGGCTCCCTGAAACAGTGCAGAGAGCATTAGCTCAATCTTGTGGGGAAGGCTAGAAAGCAAAAGGCAGCTGGCTGTAGCAAAAATACTGAATTCCAGGGCATCTTGTAAGCCCTGGGGGATAAAGATGAATGGGACAAGTCATCTAGTTTCCAACTGGCTGCAGACTTGCATTAGTGCAGCAGTTAACTCTGAAAACATTAACTAGGAGGAATTTCCAACTCATAAGGGCTAAAAAAAAAAAAATACGTTGAAGAGCGAGATTCTGTGCCCATGGAAATTCAGGACCAGAGAGTGTGCTTGATATGAACTTTGAAAGCTCCAGCGAGTGCCTTAACATACTAAAAGGCTAACAGTAACTGAGTACAGGGGCAGACCTGGTGCGTTAAGAGCACTTCATTGCTGCTGTCTAGTGCTTACCTCCCCTAACAGCTCTTTAAAGCAAACGAAGTTGTTGTGAGCTACCTAAGCTCTATGGTTACTATGTCTGAGCCACATTAAATGGTGCAGACTTAACCTTTTCCTCACACTTTAGTAGCCAGGTACTGGATTCTTCAAGATGGGGGTGAAGGCACCACTTGTGTCCAGCCCACATTTGTAGCAGCTAATAGTTATAGGAGGGCTGTTCCAGACCCAGGGTGAAGTAGTTTCATTTCAATGTCATCGAAGAGCCCAAGGATTAAATCCAACAGACTGGACTTCAATCTTGAAGCATACTTATTGGAAATTTGCACAGCTGCTAGATGTGCTGTGGATAAGACTGTCACTCAGCTACGTATCACCAGCAGTAACTGAGCACTCCCTTTCCTTTTAAATAACGTACAGAAAGCAGAGAAAGAGGAGGAGTGTGCTGATAAATGGTGGTGTGGAAAGTAATATGTCAGACCTGCATGGGTTATCAGAGATTCTCTAACACATTAACAGCTTACAATTCAGGAACTCATGTTTTGTCTGACACAAGCAGCGTCTGTTCATCTTCAGTGACAAGGTACCTGCTCATTAGTTGTTCAAATGTCCTTTCCATAACTTTCTGGATTCCAAGGCGATCAATGTCTCTCATTGAGAAATACTGAATGTCATAGTTCTTCAAAATATAGCTGTTAAAAGAAAATGTTAAAACTTTCTTGCTTTTGGCTAAAATGTTTAGTACAGTGATTGTACCGGTGACCCCTTTCACATAGGTGGGTTGCACCAGAGGCTTGCTTTTAAATTAAAAACACTTAATATATTTAACACCATTATAAATGCTGGATGTGGGGTCGGGCTGACAGCTCATGACCCCCCTGTAATAATCTCCCAACCCCCAGTTTGAGGACCCCGGTTTAGTACTTTAAACCTCAAACCCTCACCACCAGCCCACGCCATTTAAATATATGGCACTAGCAAAAGCGACTTCAAACTTCACCAGTAAGAAAAATCCCTCCCCTCCACAGCGGTCTTGCACTTACTGTTCAGCAGGATCCACATCCCTCAGACCAATGTAGACAATATCCGATGTTGAGAGGCAGGGCTTTAGCCAGGAAAAGCCAGGAAGCAGCGGCATCTGCAAGCAGAGAGGGGTGTATATAGCTATAAAGTGACTTCTAGTGCCATCTGTTTAACAAGCTTCCAGTTCACAATGGAAATAATTTTAGGGACTTGTTAAAAGTTTTGATTTTCACTTCCTCATGCTACCCTCTCTCCTCCCAGAGTGAAATCCTCAAGGGGACAGAAAAGCAAGGTCTAATAGACTGGGAACAGGACTACATGAAGATTTCTTAACAATCTCAGCCTTGCCCCTTTCATACTATTTGTTCTAAGACAAACAGCAGCATTTAAGGAACATAAAAAAAAAAATGAAGTACCTAGTATTGTCTTATGCTGCTGGCTGCCTAGCAGTGTAGGGAAATAGGGGGCTGTTTCTATTCCTGCTTGAACAATAACTTGCTCCATCATTGATCATGTCACTTAACCTTTCTCCCTCAGTTATACCCATTTCACAGATGGGTACTAGTACTTGACAAAAGGTATCTTTAAGGCACTTAGATCTATGCACAAGAGGCACTACAAGATCATAACTATGTACATGAGACTGTACCATTAAAGGTAGAATCAGCTCAACAGTGGGGGGGGGACCCCAGAAGTTGTATGCTATGAAATGCCTTTGGTAAAAGGGAATACCTCACATTAATGGGAGTTGAGCTAGAAAGCAGACTTCCTAGGGAGTAAGACTGTGGCAGCAAGTGTCAATAGAGGAGGAGAGGGTCAACTTAAATGATAAAGCAATTGTGTCAATAATGATACACCCTCATCCAGTTCTGGTCAAACCCTTCCATTGCCTGGGAATAGCAGATTGGCGAGGCCTTTGTACTACAGGGGGCTGAAAATGTCTGCTCTTTTGTACCTTTCATACAAGGATGCAAATAAGTTGCAAGGGGGGGGGGGGAGGGAATCAACATTATCCCCATTTTACTGATTGGGAAACTATAGCTCTCACCATAGTACCTGAGAACCTCAACTATTAGTGAATTTATCCTCCTGTGGGGCACGGAAGTATTAGTTCTATTTCACAGATGAGAACTAAGCCATACAGAGAAAGTAACTTAAGGGCATTCCAGGATTCTGAGACATTAACTCAGCTCTCTCCAGTCCCAGCCCACTGTCTCTCCATGAGGTTTTCCCACCCCCAATCACAGTTAGTGATTAGTGCAGAGTCTCTCAGCAGTGCAATGAAAGCAGGGCCCGCACACAACATTTTGTCACCTGAGGCAGGGAACTCAAATGACGTCCCCATGTCCCCTCGCTTAGGCCAAAACTTTGAAAGGTCTCAATTCTGCCATCTTCCTGTTCTACTCCTCTCATGCTACTTCTCCTTTATTGGGGTACCTAACAACTTAAGTATCAGGGTAGCCATGTTAGTCTGTATCCACAAAAACAACAAGGAGTCCAGTGGCACCTTAAATACTAAACAGATTTATTTGGGCATAAGCTTTCATGGGTAAAGAACCACTTCCTCAGATGAAGGTGGTTTTTTACACCCATGAAAGCTTATGCCCAAATAAATCTGTTTAGTCTTTAAGGTGCCACTGGACTCCTCCTTGTTTTTCTAACAACTTAAAATGCCTTGTTCAAAAATTTTAAGTAACTTTCAAATGCCTGAACAGCAAATGTAACTTTTCTTGTCTGCATAGTAAACACTGGCATTTTTATCTGTTTGCATAATCGAAGTGGTGCTTTCTGTGCCTTCTCGGTTACAAAGATCTGAACTGCTTCCTGAAGGTCCCACTGTCTGGGCCAGTTCATGCTCTACTGAGATGGTTGCAAGGCTGACCAGCCTCTCCTGTGTCATTGTGGAGCGTAGATGTGTTTTTATTAACTTCAGCTTGGAGAAGCTGGGTTCTCTACTGGCAACTGTTACAGGAAGTGTCAGAAGTATGTGCAGAGCAACAAAAGCATTTGGAAAGAGGGCCGTCATCTTATTTGTGTACCTATATTCCAGAACAGCCTTTGGAGTTGATCCTGCTGAAATGTATCTTGAAAGGGCTTTCAGTTCATCACGTAAATCACTCGCATCAATATCACGCATGTCATCATGTGTCAAAACGGTTTCTAGTGCCCTGCACTGCTGATGTAGGCCTTCTTCAGGTATAGTGAGGAGTTTTGGAATATCATACAACATCCCACATATACTGCTGTGTTCCTTGAGCTGCATGAAACATTCAGCTGACTGTATTGCACAATCTAGCACCTGATTAAAGAACTCAACTTTGAATTGTTGTTTGGGGTCTCTTATGGGATTATCCCATGCCTTGTAATCAAAAAAAGTCTTCTCTGACTCTTATTTTCCCACCCATTCAAGAATACAGCTTCAGTGTGAAGTTCCTCTGCCAACTTCTGTGCACTCTTCAGAAAGTTTTGAAATCCCTCATCTGACTGGTAAGACAGTAGATATGACTTTGCTTTGTCCAGTTCTTCCATTGCTCCAGATAGATCAAGGTCAACACCTTCGAGTCTCTTGCTTACAACATTTATTTCAAACAGTATGTCATGCCACAACACTAAGCCACACAGAAGTTTGAAGTTATATATATTTCTGGTGATTCCATTTCCCTCTGCCACTGTTCTCCCACAAACAGTTCCTGTCATAGCATTATCCTCCATAATGGCAACTATGGCGTCATCTATCTTCCCAATTTGGTGTTTCGAGTGGAGGCGATAAAGCCTATGACTTTCCCATCGTGTGGCACTCAGTGGTTTCAGTGTCAGAGAGGATGTTCCCAGATGTTGCTTCAAAATTTTGCATCAATGAGTTGATGCAGAGAGAAATACATAGATGTTTTGAATTACATTAAAAAATTCAGCAGCCTCACTCGAAGCTGATGCTGCATCACTGACCACCAAGTTCAATGACTAAGAACTGCATGGGACAAAAAATGCTTGAGGGTTTAACTCTCGGATCCGTGTCTGCACTCCTCTGTTCTTTCCTCTCATGTTGGCAGCATTATCATAGCCCTGACCTCTCATGTCAGCTATCACAATTGCCATGTCTTCCAGCTTTTTAAGAAGCACATTTGTCATACCAGCTCCTGTAGTATCATCAAATGTCAACAGATTCTAGAAAATGCTCTCTGACAGTCACCATTGCAGGAACATTTGCACTAGGTTCTGTTGTTACAAAATGCACCATTCAAGTCATTTGTTCCATATGGCTGATGTCAGGTGTGCAGTCCAGACTAACAGAGGAATATCTTGCTGACTTCAGATCTGCCACAATCTTCTGTTTGACTCTTGTTGCCAGAAACTGTATGATCTCATTTTGAATGGTTTTTCCAAGGTAGTGGTGCGTGTACATTTCTTGGGTGGTGACTCTTCTGGTGCTCCTGGAGAACATCATCAAACTCAGCCATCAGCTGCACAATTTTAAGGAAGTTTCCATTGTTTGGCACATACTGCTGATTTGAAGTGCCACGCAGTGCTAGGTTTTGGGTGGCAAGCACTCTCACAATGGCAATGAGCCTTTTCAGATCGTTTTGCCAGTAAAGAGACTCTGACGCAATCTTCTCTTTATGCTGATAGTCTATGGTGCCCTTTAACCTTGGTCTCATCTCAAGCTCTTTCCACCTATGGAATGCTCTCTGGTGATTTGCTGCCTTCTCATGGCATGCCAGATTTCTAGCCAGATTTTTCCAGTCCTTTGTTCCTGTAGAAGCCAATGTGGCTGGAACATTAGACTGGAAGACTGTTTTTGCAATAAACACAGTATGCAGCATTCTGGGGTTTTGAGTACATAAAAGCCATGGCCTCTCCACTTTGTCACCACTGGGGATTTCACGCCAGTAATGTGTTGGATGGAAACTTCTATTTTCATGGTCTTCGGGGAACATTTGGGGAACTTGAAGTTTTTCCACTTGCTGTGGCCCATGCAGTACAAGGAAGTCCCTCAGGCTACAGCTCAAGTGGGTCCACAGTCCTGGATCATCTAGACTTAAGGAACTGAAGTCAGCAGCAGCTGTTTCTTGCGCCTCCACCACACTCTTCTCTGATCTACACTTTTCTTCAGGAATGTGCATGGTTACATCCATTTGAGATGGAGATATGGATGCTGCAGTAGCTACCAGGTCACCTGCACTCTAACTAGAAGATCAGGCACCTCCTCACCCCTCACATCCTCACTGGGGCTGGAAGGCTCACTGTGAACATGTGTGTCTATGTATCTTAGGAGAGCTCCTTCCTGCTTAGATAGAAAAGCTTCCTTTGCTTTCTCTTTTTCTGAATGCCGCCCCAGAGGGGTGTTTTTCCTTCTTTCACTCATGACTGCTGTTCTGTGCCAGCTATAGTGGCTCTCAACACTCAACTGAAGGGGACAAATAAGCAGGCTGGTAGCAGGGCCTGACTGAGGGAAGATATCAACGTCTTAAGGGCCTGAATGGCTCCTACTACTTCATCAGCTGACTGCCTGTTCTCCTCAAGTGGGTTCAGGGAAGCAGCAGGAAACAGGAAGCTCCATGAGAAGCTGGTGTTAATCAATCCAGGCTCCTGGGGGTGTTAGAGAGGTACATAGAGAGGAGAAGGAGCCTCTTCTCCTTGCAGCTCCAGCTGCTTTCTGTTATTCCCTCTCACCTTTTCTCCTGCCTGCCTGTTATGTCTCTTGTGCCCTCCTTCCTCCAGCACAGCACTCCACCATTTCCGTGCATCTAGAGCAGAGAGAATCCATATGCACCAGCAGCAGACGCAATTTTCTACAATCTGGGCTCTAGTGGCACCCCCTCCCACAGTCTGGCACCTGAGGCGGCCCCCTCAAGGTAAGGCCAGCCCTGAATGAGAGATGGAATTTAATCCCAGCTCCGACTCAAAATATGGGACCAATTCCTCGACAGCGCTGTCACCTGAATGGACAGATGGACAATAAGGGGAACACTGAATCTGTAGTGCCTGCAGTGGAGCTTATGTGGATGGGCTGCAGAAGTAACAACAGCAAAAGTTTTTCTCTGTCAAGAACTGGCAAAGGCAGATGTGAAAACCATGGCAAACCTCTTTATATAAATAGCATGTACCTCTATCTAGGTGATTAACATGCTGTCTGCTTTATGGGGGCAGAGTTAACTGAATCCTGAGTGGTTTTACACATTTCCAGGAAAGCAGACAATGGTTAACGCAGCTGCTGATCTTTAATGGATAACACAGTGAATCCACTGCTAGAAGTCTACTTCTGACCCACCCGCAGTGAGCTGCATAATCCAGAGGCCCAGGACAGGCAAAGCGACTTGAAAAGGGATAAAAAGATGGACCTGTGAACTCAGAGGGTGGGCCACTGACTGAAGTTCAGAGTAAGACAGGCTGCAGGGGGTACAGACTACCTTGTCCAACTCCAGTGATGGGGGTGCCTGAACTTGCAAGGAAAGGCTAAGGTTTAGGGAAGACAATATACATAGAGGTCTGTTTTAATCCTTTTCCTCTCATGGTCCTATGACTACATACTTTGAAGAGGCTGTTCATTGTCCATGCACTTTTTTTATTCCGATCACAGCAAGTCTAGAGCAGGGGTTAAACCCAACTTGGACCTGCTGGTAAACAGGAGTGCAGCGGATCTGGAGACCCAGTCTAAGAGCGGGGTGAACTGCAGATTCTACCCTGAGCACAGTACAGGCACAAGCCTGTCACTGGGAGAGGGTGTCCCTAGAGAGGCAGCCTGTGAGGAGCCAAACGTACAGCTCACGCTGAGCCATGATCGTTGACATCACTAAGTCAGTGACGTAACAGACTAAGCCCAGGATTGGACACTAGGAATCCTCTGCAACTATGATGCTGTGACCTTGGGCAAGACAGAATGTGTAAGACATTACTACCTACTTTAAAGGGCAAGCAGGGACTAGTCAGTGTTTGTACAGCACTTTGAAAAGGTTGTATACTAATACAGCTAGAAGAGTAGAACCAGAGTATTCTTCAGGCTTATGAGTGATCGGTCTGAGTGAAGGGGGACCCAGCAAGAGCTACACGAGTTAGGGGTAAGCTCTCCTCTCCCAGCTATCAGTGCAGTTTATCTATTACACAAGTACAAATAAAAAATTTTGTTCATGCATAATCCCTTCTCTGGTAATTCAGATGTACAGTCACGCCCGCTACACGAAAAGCCAAACCACTGAACTTTCACTTACAAGCTGTTACCGATTAACAATAAATTATATAAAAACAACGAGGAGTCCTTGTGGCACCTTTGAGATGAACGTATTTATTTGGGCATAAGTTTTCGTGGACTAGAACCCGCTTCATCAGACGCATGGAGTGGAACATATAGTAGGGACGTATAAATACACAGCATATGAAAAGATGGGAGTTGTCTTACCAAGCGGGGGGTCAGTGCTAACGAGCCCACTTCCACCTTAATTGAATTGGCTCGTTAGCACTGACCCCCCGCTTGGTAAGACAACTCCCATCTTTTCATATGCTATGTATTTATACCTCCCTACTGTATGTTCCACTCCATGCGTCTGATGAAGCGGGTTCTAGTCCACGAAAACTTATGCCCAAATAAATACATTCGTCTCTAAGGTGCCACAAGGACTCCTCATTGTTTTTGCTGATACAGACTAACACGGCTACCACTCTGAAACCTGTCACAATGATTATATACAGTGTGAAAACAGGTTATTTTCTTGCACCAGTGGTAAATTCTCCCCCTAAATGGTGGTGTGGTTCAAGGGACCAGAATAAAGGTCTAAAAATAAATCTCCCACCCATCAGCCAGGCCATGATAGCCATCAAAATGTGAGGTGTCTGCGGTGTCACACCATAATGCTATGAAAAGGTTCTGTCAGCTGCCCTGGTTCTGCACTGATGCATCCGATGAAGAGAGCTGTAGCTCACGAAAGCTCATGCTCAAATAAATTGGTTAGTCTCTAAGGTGCCACAAGTACTCCTTTTCTTTTTGCGAATACAGACTAACACGGCTGCTACCCTGAAACCTGGTTCTGCACTGTTACAGGTGGAGGTAGGGGGCCTAAAGTGGGGAGGTTTCTATGCAGTCTTGGGCGCTCTGATACCTGCCTGAGCTTTCTGTGGGACATTGGGGGTGAACCCCACTCAGACCCCCTCCCTCCCACCACAATTCATGCAGCCACCTCTCCTAAATTTAGGTGGATTTTGCCTGAGCAGGGCTCCTCCTCGCTGCTGCCACCATCGTCCTGGACTGCCTTGGCCTCAGAAAGCACTCAGCTGCTGCTGTTTCTCCAGCAGTTCTAGGAACCTTGCTCTTCTCTCTCCCCTCCTCTTTAAGGGAGAGAGCCAGCTGAGCAGACCCCTAACCAACTGTAGGGTCACAGGAGTCAGTGGAGTCTATTCCTTTTCCCACTGGGGAGGGGGAAGGGGAAACAAGGAAACAAATCTGAGGGACCCAGGATCTTGGAGCCTGCTCCTTTCCCCTGTTGTGAAAGACCTATTGGGCTTTGTCCCCTCCTCCATCCAGAAGCAACTGCTGACTCTTGGCCAGGTGAGCTCCTTCTCTCACAGGCTTCTCTGTTCCTTGAGAGATAGACAGACGGGGACCCAGAGCTGTCACAGGAAGGTCTCCTTTCCCCACTGACCCATTTTCTACTGGGTGTAACTGGAGGTAAATGCTGACTAGTTATTTCCAGGCTGGACTTTTCAAGGAGTGGCTAGCTCAAGTGGTCTTACATTAACTGGGGCCTTCCCTCTGAGGAGTTTGAGTGTTTTACTAACCTCATGCAGGGATTACTGCAGCCCTCTCTGGCATAGAAAGCCACAGCTAGTTAACAGTTCACATAAAGAAGATTATTCAAATGCATCCCAAGGAGAAACAGGATGGAATTACCAAGATCAGATCTGTGTAATGCACAGCAGACCCCAGGGATCTCATATTTTGATGGCTCTCACATGCTGGCCTGGCTGATGGGTGGGAGACTTGGTGTTTAATGTGGAGACACTTTATTTTGGTCCCTTGGACTATACTACAGATGCTCCTTCGAGGTTTCCAATGCACAAGTAGAACTAGTTTAGCTTGCAGGATCTGCTGGGAGTTCAGTTCAGGGTGGTTTGGCTGCATAATTTCCTTTCCATTGTGTGTAATATGGCACTGAACACTTGTTTCAAACAGTTACATCCTTCCTTTAAGGACAGCCTGATGCATAACCTGCAGGTACCCAGTACGTGCTGAATACACATACTGACAAAGTAGGATACTGTGAAGAGAACCAGATTTACTGCATTTCCAGCCACCGTTCTCAGCCTGCAGGCGGTGACCCTCTCCTATTCCCTAACCTGGAGCCTAGGCTGAAGTAGACATGCTCACTTCTAACTAGGTCCCCGATGCAGATGCCACAGACACTGTACTGGTTACCATGGCAGCCCCTATAGTATGCTATAAGAACTTGTACGAGGGCTTCCAGGCTGCAGCCGAGGCAGTGTGGTTATTAAATGCCCTAGGTGTACCAATATCGAGCCTCTTTTCGGGCTGCTGCAGAAGCAGGCCGCTCTTCTTGTGCCTTTAAAGATAATGGTCATCGTCAGCAGGGCACTTTGCCAAGCAGGCTACAAGCAGCCCTGAGCTGTAACATTTACTAGAACGTCTAGAGCTACAGCAATGTATCAGGACAGCCCATGCAGGCCCTGCCCCCGACAGGCCCTGAGGTGGTCAAAATATGGAACAGTTCCAAATAGAGATGTACAAGGGGAGGGTAAAAGGCACGTGAGCTATGCAGGGATGAGCTCGGCACAGCTCCTATGGGCTCAGATGGGGGAGGCTCCCTTTCTGGCTCACCCAGCAGGACTGCTGCCTGCGCACTCCAACAGTCTCCGTGTATTGGCTACAAGAATATGCAGGCTCCACACAGTGTCCAGTTGCTGGATTGGAGCCTTTACTGACGCATTAGGTCTGTTTTAGCACAGGAGACTGAGTGGCAATGGGATATGAAGCCTCTCACCTTCAACTTCAAATCCTGATCAAGCAACTTGTGACATGGGCTCATGCTCTCCATCCAGTTCCTAGCAGATGTGCCTATCACAAAATCCACTAGCACCCCAGCAGTAAGTGCCCCCTAGGTGACAGTATCTACAAAGAGGCCAAGAGCTGAATAAGGAATAGTCTCTCTCAGCACTAGCAGTTAGTAGATTATAAACATAGGATGCCTGTAACTTTATCTTATCTAGGGGATAAACGGGAGATCAACCTCAGGGGCAGATAAGTCAGCACCTTTCACCAGAATTGAAATTAAACAAACAGTGTGCTGTACAGTAACCTCTCCCTCCCTCCAAACAAAACCTAAAGCCACTTACTTTATTCTGGAGCTCTCGTAACAGAAATGAGACTGGCTGTCCATGGAGGTTTCCAGATTGAGTTGTGAGAGGGGTGTTGATATCGGCATGTGCATCCACCCAGATCACACAGAGGTGAGGGCACTGCCGTGTGTGGCCACTGATGGAACCAAGCGCCAAGCTGAAAAGTACATTAAACACACGTCCTACTGAACAATTCCAGGGACTATGATAAACGAGGTTGCCACATTTCAAAATGTTCAATATTTGCATTGCAGCATCTCATCCCAGTGAGACCTGCCATCACCACATAAACATCAGTGTGACATGTATCACTATGCATCATGATTCTGCATAAAACTCTGAAGAAGTACACGAGTACTGCGATATGGGGGCAGGGCTTTGCTTTTTCTTCCTTCAGGCTCTCTTACCAAGAGCCCTCCCACCTCTCTAGCCTTCACCTGTCCCAGGTCCAGGTGAGCATCAACAGAACCCATCTCACCCCTACCTAGCAGGCTCATCTTGCACAGTCACCAACCGAACTCTGTTGGCTCCAGTCATTTTGCCTCATTTCGACACAGCCCACCTCCTCCCTGCTGTTCCCAGTCTGGGGGCAGAGACAGAAGAGGGATGTGACATTTGGAGAATGGGAAAGAAGAGGATATGGAGGTAGACTTAGGACTCTCTCTCTCACCACAGCACTCCCTAGCCCCTCCCCCCAAATCCTTTAGGAACTAGCTGGTCCCCAAAGGGTTACACACCTGTCCTAAGGGTTAGTGTCCTGCAAGCTCCCTAAAAATATGTCCACAAAAGTCAACATGGGTGAAGCTGACCATATGAATTCCCTCAAAAAAGGGCAGCTTCATTTGTTTTTATTACTTGCAGCTTCCAAAAGAATTTGGAAACAAGTCACTGCTGTCTGTTACTTTCTAAGATCACTTTTTTATTGCTTCTTTTATTCTGCTGGTTCTTGGAGTCACAGAATTAAAGACAAAACAAATATGTCCCCACATGGTACTGCCAGGAAAGTAGGAAGGGGCTTTCAACACTGCAGGGCCTGGGAGTAGCAGATACTCACAGCAACATCATCACGCAAGCAACTTTGACACTCTCCCAATCTATGCCTTGCAGAGCTTCTATGGCCCCAGACCCCTCGTCCTTTCATCTCAGTTTTGATTTACACCAAAGGAGATACTCCACCTCAAACAGTTAACTGTCAATCTGTGACATTCAACGGCAGCCACCACTCTCATCCAGCTTGACTCACCTATGGTCACCTCCCATGGTTACACAGCTGTGTCCAGCAGCCACTGCTCCGCTCACAGAGTCAGCCAGCACCTGGCTGGCTAATCCCACAGAGCGTGGGTATTTGACCAGGTTGTTATACAGCTCATCATTGGGCACTTGAGTGAAACTCAGATCTCCAAAATCATACACTCGGCAACCTGGTAACACACAGAGCAGCAAAAAGGTGGGTTAAGTCTGGATTCAAATTCCTCAAAAGGCATTCTAAAAACCTAGTCATTGTGAGAGTGTAATGCTGAAAGAAACAGGTGCTCCCCACCCTATGCCCTGCAGCTCACCAGTAACTATTAGGATATTGCCCTACCAGACACCGCCCGACCTTACTGCATCAACAGCACTGATTCAGCCATTAGAAAGAGCTCTGAAATTTCCAGCCAGCTCTGGCTGGAGTTAAGTGTGTTACAAAGAGAAACTGCCTCAGGGCTCCCATCCCACTGGGCACAGCAAAACACAGCAACAGAGCTATGAGATTCTGAGATACATATTCAGCAGATGGCGAGGGTTGCAAAGTAAACAAGAAATTAGAGATGGCTTCCTGAAAGACTCCCCTGGTGTGTGCACACCTACCCACTGACTATTAAAAGTAATTACCATTTTAGGGTCTATTTACATGGACAGTGAAAGGGGTGGGGTGGGAAAACAAGACATTATATATATATAAAGGCAACACAGCCAGTCACTAAGTATCAAGTGTCTTGGGCTGATGGAGCTCTGAATTATTGAAATTTTCCACGTTCTTTTGATCTGTCACAGGCTCAGAACTTTGATGATGTTCTTTACAAACGTATCCAGATCTGTCGGAATTCCCCCGGCGTATCAAGACAAGGACCTAGCTGAAGATAGGCAGCTATGTTTAAGTAACTTACAGTGGCACAGGGACAGCAGATATAGAAGGGCAGTTTCCTGCCTGTTATACAGTGCAAAGGAGTAGAGGGCTGCTGAAAAATGAGTACAGGGTGAAGAGTAAAAAGCCCCAGAGACATAAGAACCACCTTTTTGGCTCTCTCTTACAGGACGTTAATTTGTGTCCAGGCAGAATGACTTTGTGCCTTTATGCCATGTTCTGAGATTGCTCAGGACACCACCACATATCATGATGCTACAAGACCAGAGAAAAACCATTTGGGAGTCCTATTAATCCTGCACATTGGACAGACATATGGAACTCAAGTGCTGGAATTTTTTCCCTCAGCAGTATCCGTAGCAGACTGGTTCTGGCACCCCCTGGAGGGGCACACATACGCTGCGGTATATGAGGCACTGCCGGCTCCCCCCACCCTCAGTTCCTTCTTGCTGGAAACTCTGACAGTGGGGAAAGAGGGCGGGTTGTGGAACGTACATGAGCAACTCATCTCAAAGAACACCAGTTACAGAAAAGGTAACTGTCTTTTCGTCAAGTGCTTGCTCATGTCCATTCCAAGTGCCAACAGAGGTGGGTAGGAGTTCATGGACATTTAGATTGCAACACAGCTCTGCCAAACCCAATGTCATCTCTAGCTTGCTTAGTGATGGCATAGTGCGCCGTGAATGTGTGAACTGAAGACCACATCGTGGCTCTGCACATGTCCGGGAGGGGAATGTGCGCCAGGAAGGCCGCCGAGGACACCTGAGCTCTGGTCGAGTGGGCCCTCACGATTGGCGGTAGTGGGACCGGTGCCAGCTCGTAGCAGTGTTGAATGCATGAGATGATAGTTGAAAATCCTCTGCGATGACACCAGAAGGCCCTTCATCCTCTCTGTCATGATGAAGAGGTGGATCAACCTGTGGAAGGGCTTGGTATGCTCCAGGTAAAACACCAGGGCACGTCTGACGTCCAGAGCATGCAGCCTCCTTTCCTCCCCAGTGACTTGGGACAAAAACACCGGGAGGAAGATGTCCTGGTTAACAGGGAAGGAAGGAAGACACCATCTTTGGCAGAAAGGCCGGATGGGGTCGCAGTTGAACTTTGTCCTTGAACACCACAGTATACGGCAGCTCCGATTATCAGGGCTTTAAGCTCTGACACTCATCTCGTGGATGTTATTGCCACGAGGAATGTGACCTTCCATGACAGGTGGGAGTCTGAGCAGGAGCCCATAGTCTCAAATGGCAGGCCCGTGAGCCTAGAAAGAACCAAGTTAAGGTCCCACTGTGGGATAGGAGCCTGGGGCGGCGGGAAGAGTCTCAAGGCCTCTCAGGAATTGGACTGACATGTTGTGGGAAAAACACTCTGACCTTGGATTGGCAGGTGAAAAGCGGAGATAGCTGCAAGGTGCACTCTGATGGAAGAAAGGGCCAGCCCCTGGTTCTTAACATGGAGCAGGTAATCTAAAACAGATTGTAAAGAGGAGCATGTTGGAGAGATGCTATGCTCAGACGCCCAGTGGGAGAACCTTGTCCATTTGGTCAGGTAGGTTACTCTAGTGGAAGGCTTTCTGCTTTCCAAGAGGATTTGCTGTATCTCGTTAGAGCAGGCCTGCTCCTCCAAATTCCACCAAGCAGAATCCACGTCATGAGGTGGAGGGAGACGAGGGTTGGGGTATAGGAGATCCCTGTGATCCTGCAAGAGCAAATCCAGTCGGTCGGAAAGGGGCCAGGGAGCGGCCACAACTAGGTCCATCAGCGTGCCGAACCAATGTTGGCGTAGCCATGCCGGGGCAACCATGATGACTTTGCCTTGTCTCTCTTGACCTTAGACAGAGCTCTGCTGCTGAGCAGGATCGGCAGGAACGTGTACATCAGAGCCCCCGACCATGACAGGAGAAAGGTGTCGGAGAGGAAGTCTTCGCCTAGGCCTTGTAGGGAACAGAAACGATGATATTTCCTGTTCTGTCTGGTAGCAAACAGGTCCACTTGGGGCGTTCCTGACTTCTGGAAGAGGGTCTGGGTACCTCCGGATGGAGTTAGCACTCATGGCAAGAGAAAAAAAAATGATCGCCTCAGCCGATCAGCCAGCATGTTCCCAACATCGGGGAGGGGGACAGGCCTCCAGTTGGATTGCATGGTCGATGCGGAAATCCCACAGCTGGAGTACCTCTTGGCAGAGGGCCAATGCACATTCTACCCCTTGCCTGTTGATGTAAAACATCGAGGCCATATTGTCTGTCAGCACTCACCACCTTGCCTGCCAGGTGCGATAGAAAGACTCTGCAGGCCAAGCGTACTGCTCTGAGCTCCTTGATGTTTATGTGTAAAATCATCTCCTCCAGGGACCACATGCCCTGGGTCTGGAGGCCACTGAGATGTGCTCCCCAACCGAGGTGTCTGATATAAACTTGATCGAGTGATGAGGGCTGTTGAATGGAACTCCTTCTAGGACCGCCCTGGGGTTGGTCCATCATCGTAGCGAGGTAAGTATCGTCGGTGGGATGGTAATCTTTTCCAGGTGATCTCTGGACTGGAAATAGATATTCACCAACCACTGCTGTAAGGGCCATATCCTGAGCCTGGCATGGCATGGCAGACGACATACATATGTCCCAGCAGATGCAGACAAATCCTGGCTGTGATCGGGGGAATGCGGAGACTCCCGCATGAGGTCCAGCATCATCTGGAATCTCTCCTGCATGAGAAACACTCTGGAGCAGGTGGAGTCAAGCTCCGCTCCGATAAACTCTATCCTCTGCACCGGAACGAACGTCGACTTTTTGCCATTTACCAGCAGGCCCAGGAATCTGCATATGGCCTGCAGCATCACAACATCCTTCTAAACTTGGAGTGGCCTTTGAAGAGCCAGTCATCTAGGTTTGGGTAGATCTGGATACCTTGACATCTGAGGTAAGCAGTTAATACTGACATGCACTTTGTGAACACCCTTGGTGCTGTTGTGAGGCCAAATGGGAGGACCGCGACCTGAGAGTGGTTGGATCCCACCATGAAGTGTCTGTGACCTTGAAAGATCATTATGTGGAAATAGGAGTCCTTCAAATCAAGGGCGGCATACCAGTCTCCCAGATCCAAGGAGGGGATGATGGAGGCCAGGCAGACCATGCAGAACTTCAGCTTCCTTAGCTATTTGTTGAGGTCTCGCAAGTCCAGGATGGGATGTAGACCGCCGTTGGCCTTTGGGATTAAAAAGTACCAGGAACAGAACCCCTTGTTCCTGTACTTGCAAGGAACATTTTCTACCGCCCCAGCTACAGCAACCCTTCTACCTCCTGCACGAGAAGACTCTCATGAGAGGGGTCCCTGAAGAGGGTTGGAGAAGGGAGAGGGGAGGTTAGAAAGAAACTGGAGGGTATAACCCTGCACCACAGTATTGGGGACCCAGCAGTCCAAAGTTATAGTGGTTCACGTGGGGAGGAAAAAAGAAAGGCAGTTGGAAAACAGCGAGAAAGATGGATCCAGAGCTTGAGCCCGATTGGGCAGAGTGGCGGTGGGTGGCTCGGACGGCACTTGTAGCCCCTACTCTTCTTATGGGGCAGTTCCTGCCCGGTTTGGCTCCCTTGACCCTGAGATGGCTGCAGTTTGAATCGCTTACAGGCTGGACTGGGAATGTACACCCCTAGAGTTTTCAGGGTAGTGGGGGAGTCTTTCAGTCCATGCAGCTTACTGTCAGTCTGTTCTGCAAACAGAGCCTGGTTGTGGAAGGGGAGGTCCTGCATTGACTGCTGAGCCTCAGCTGACAGACCCAAGAGGAGCAGCCAGGATGCCCTCTGCATGGAAATGCCCGAGGTCATGGTGCGAGCCGCAGAGTCTGCTGCATCCAAGGCTGCTTGGAGGGCTGCTCTGGCTGCACCCATGCCCTCTTCGAGGATTGCCCGGAACTCCATCCTGGACCCTTTGGGCAGAGACACCTTGAATTTGGCCATGGCCTGCCACATGTTGTTGTCACAGCAGCAAGGAGGGCTTGGTGATTGGCCACTCTCAACTGAAGGCTGGAAGACTAATAAATTTTTCGCACAAACAGAACCAGTCTCTTTGAGTCTTTATACTTGGGCGTAGCCCCAAGTAAACCAGAGAGAGGCAGGGTCAACCGTCTCAACTACGAGGGAGTTTGGGGCTGGTTCTGTATAGAGATACTCATGCCCTTTAGCTAGCACAAAATATTTGCGCTCAGCCCTTTTTGAAATGGATGGCAGGGAGGAGAAGGTTTGCCATAGGGTATTAATACTTTTCAAAAACCCCTTGTGTAGGGGTAAAGCCACCCTGGCAGGTGCCA